ATATAATATTAAAAATAGAAAATGATCTAAATATCCATATACCATGAGATGAATGGATGAATATTTCTTGTAGAAAAGCATTATTAAATATTATAAAGTCATTAAGACTGTTCAAATAAATATAGACATGCTAGGTATATCTATATTTTAAAAGGGAGGTAACAATTATCTCTGAAGAATGGTCTCTTGAAACTGTAGAAAAAAAATAAATGGAAATGAACACTAAAATAATATTTGGCATAATTGCAGTGAACTCTTGGGAGACTTAAAACCTTTTGCCTAATTTTCAACATTTTCTAAATTTTGTATAATGAACAAATATTAATTTGATGACCAAGAAAATTGTAGAAATTTGTAAAAATTTGTAAAATTGTAAAAAGCATAATTTCAAAAAAATACACTGTTAATTCAGCAAATCAAAACTTTTAAATAAATACACTATCCAAATTTTTAATTAAAAGCACTATCAAATAATTGATCTTGAAGGGATTTAGATAATGAGACGAGTGTACAGCCTACCTAGTGACATGGCCCTGAGCAAGTCCTTTACTTCCTGGACCTCAGTTTTTAACCCAGCAAAATTAGAGGATTATACAAGTTATTTGCAGTTTCCATCTAGCTCTAAAATGCTCATTTTGATAGCAAGTTTCCACGGGCTGTACTGTAGCAGATGATGGTGGGAAAGTAAAAGGTCTAGAATACATCCAAGAATGAAATTTAGATTTTAAGCTGGTAAAATCTTTTGTTAAGAAAAGCATCCAGAGAGATACACGCAGAGTCAGGGGAGGAGGAAGGAAAGGATGCGAGGAGAGGAAGTGGCCAGAACGTTTTACAGGAGGGAAGAATCAGTTTAGTATCTCTAGGAGAAGTTTCAAGGTAAGAAGTGAAAATAAAATTCAACACACAAGTTGAGGTGGAAAATCCAGGTGTCACAAAATTTCCAATTTATAAATCAAATCTTCCAAATGAATGTATATAGAAGAAAGCAAAATATATATACATACGCATACCATATATATACCATATATAACATACATAATATATATGTATCACATATAGATATATTATATATATATATATATATATATACCATGTATACACACCACATATACATACCATATATACCCTATATATTATATATGCCATATATATACCACACACACACATATATATATATACACACCATATACACACACATACCATATATACGTGGTATGGTATATGGTGTATGTATGGTATATATTATATATAGGATATATAAGTATATATATATATATATATATATATATATATACACACACACCACACACACACACACACACACACACACATATGTATATATGTATATACACACACCACATATATACTTAGCACCAGTACAATTTCAAGCATCTCCTGTGAATCTTGGCCCTCCCTTCACAGATAAGAGGACTCTTACAGTCAAGAATCTGGGTACCATTCACTGGTACTGCTTTGGATTCTCCCATGAGATACACTGCTCCTTTACCATCTCTCTCTGCTTCCTAAGTGCCTAAGTTGTAGTACACTACAACCTAATATAAATGTCTGCATTAATAGGGTTGCTCTTTATTATCTATTAAAATAAATGTTAGTCACATATATGGTAGCTATAGAGCCCTTGAAATACGGTTAGCAGAACTGGAGAACTGAATTATAATTTTATTTAATTTTAAATAGTTAAATAATAACTAAAGGCTTTTAAAAATATAATTAGCTATCTGCATATTGGACAGCAAGAATCTAGACCTCATCATCTAAGCTTTGACTAAAAAACATTCACTGAATCCATTGCATCCTCACAGACGATGAAATCAATTGAAAACGCAGCACGTTTCCATTTAAGAATCTTGAGGATCAGGTTGAGTCTGTGTGTTTCCTCTGCATACTTGCAGAGGATACAAAATACACAAAATCTCTGGAATGCCCAGAGATTTTTAAGTAGCCCCGTAGACTTGCCATTTCTGAGCTCTGTTAACCTCTTTCCCTGAAAGTTGCAGGTTGTCCTAAGAAGATTTGAAAGTCCACAGCTGCCGTAGGAACCTCCTTAGAGGAGAGGTCTCTAAGTCTGCAGGTAAGCTCTGCTGACTTCTTATTATCATCTTCTCCGCCCAAGCAGAAGGTCCCGGCAGTGGTACCGCGGTTTGCTGTGTCTGGGTTCTGTGGCCTGAGTGTTTGAGGCTTGATCAGCAGGCAGAGGCATTGGGACTGGGTAGAAGCCTGAGGAGGCAGTGCCCAGCATGATCCTGAGGTCACTTGCAGTGCACCCCCAAGGGGGAGTGTGGGGCACAGCCCTCACCCTTTCTGCTCGGCTCCCTGTCCCAAAGCGAGCAGTGCACCTGCTACCTGCTCTGCACCACTGCCACACTGCGCCCTGTTAGAGGCTTAAAGATCATGATCTGCAAATCTTGTACTAGAACTTTCAAGCTGATAAGCCAAAACAATGTATATAAATTACTTTCCTCGGGTATTTGATTACAGTGGTAGAAAGCTGAGTAAAACAGGACTGAAATTTATAAGTTCATGGTGACCCACATGATGCCTCGTTTCAATAAACATTTATTGATTGCAACATTTTTATGACAAGGACTAGCTTTGTTGGTAAGATTTTGGGCTTGGGTCTTTAGATCAATAGCCCTGATATCAAATGTGTTTTAGCCAACTAAAACTAAGCATAGTGATCTATTGCAACATATGAGGTAATTTTATATGCAAAATCATGTTGGATAAAGTGTATAATTCTTCTGTACTTAAAACTTCACTAAAAATTCATCAAGATGGCACTTGACTGGGAAGATAAAAGGCAGCTCTGAGGTAGAACTGAGCATCAGCAGAGAACTCGCTCCACAGCATTCGCTAAACAGCTGCTACTCAACTGTTTCCTGGGCCTCTCCCTGGAAAGGAGTCCACAAAGGTAAGAAGCAACTCAACTTCAGCCCTTAACCTTAACCTAGGTACAAATGGCACACACGCAAGGCACCGTCCTGTCATTCCATTCCTTGTGGTCTGTAACATTCCAGAAAAAGCTAAAAATGGTAACTTTAGACCACAGAGGCATAAACAAAGACTAAACTATGTGAACAGTAAAACAAGTTAACCAACCTGCTGGAAAAGAAGGTGCTGGCAGAGCACCATGGAAGATTGCAGATACATTTGGAAAGAGGCCACATAAACCAGGTTTGGTTCATAGAGTTTAATGTAGATACCAGGTAGGGAGCAGCCTCTGAGAGAGGCTGAGTGGGAAAGACATGGGATACATATTAAGAGTATACCGAACTGATTTCTTTCATTTTGGTTTACCTTTAAAAATTAAACTCTTTCTCAAGATTTCCAGAATCAATGAGGGCTCCCCTCCAGAAAAAAAAAAAAAAAAAAAAAAAAAAAAAAAAAACATCATAACTGGTGAAAATTTAAAAACGTATAGCTAAGGCCTCTAGGGTTTGTCCTAGCGTCCTGTAGAAAATGGAGATACATTTACTCCAGAAAATCTACTACATTTCAACAAAATAGTGAGATTGTGTGGTTCACCGCTAAGAGATGCACAGCAGGAACAGCTGCAAGAGATGGAAAGGGAATTGTGGTATGGAAGGGTAGGGGTCTACGTCACTGCACCAAAGATGTAGATACCAAACAGCTCGTGCAAGGCACAGACGGTCACCCTAAGACTCATGACTCATAACGCAAGAGTCTACTTTGAACTATCAAGTAAATTAAAATATTACCCTAGAAAATGCTCCTTCAATAAACATAAAGAAACTAAAGAGGAATAGAGAAACCACACAAAAAGAAATGAGACACAGGAGAGAAAGGAAAATGATGCATATAAATCTCGCCATACCAACAATTTAGACCAAACCCTACTGCTGACCACATCAAGGAGCTCAAAACAAGATTATTGATTAGAACATCAGAGCCACTGCTGTCAGAATTCCCACAATACAACAGAGGAAGTTCTGTGCACTCTTGGGTTAGGCACTGGGATGTTAAAGTCTGACGCCACAGCGATGCAACAAATAAATAAACTACACTGTACAAAATGTAATATTTTATCCTGAAATGCAATGAAAAGGTGGCCCACAGAGCAGCTGGAGATGTTCAATATACGTATATGCATTTCTGAAAGGATCTTGCCCTAGACAGGACACTACAGCGGCGGGAGGCGGGACCAAGGGACCTTTACCTTGAGGAATTTCCCCTGCCCCTCAGCAATTTACCTGTGGCACAAAAAGAATTCCAATCAGCTGCTGGCGCAACAGCAATGCCCCCAGCAGGTCAAGGAGTTTCTCTCCATGTCCTTAGAACAAAGGCACTTTACTTTATACTGTCTTTCTTTTACTGCACCGAAAATCCTATCAATTGCAACAACAAAAGACAATGAAATTTTCAAAACTAGGACAGAATTTGCATAGATATTTTTCTAATGACTTGAAAATAGGATTTCATTAAAAAAAGTTAAGCATCATTATCTATTAGGAAAATAGAAATCATAACTGCAATAAAATACCACATCCCGCCCAGATAAAAATAAGTATTAATGACAAGGTAGAAAAAGTAGAGCCATCATACAATATTAATGAGACTGAAAAATACTGTCATCACTTTGAAAGAGAATTTGAAAATCCTTCAAAGTATTCAACGTAAAAGCTGTTGTATGCCCACAATCCCACTCCTATGAAAACACACATAGAGTCTTACATGAATCTTAACAGCATAATAGCCAGAATACTCATAATACTATTCATAATAGCCAGAAGGGAAACAAGGCCAGTATCCACTAGCTATAAATGTATAAATGTAATGTAGAATATATTATTCTGCCAAAAATGATATTAAAAAATATTGATACATTCTAAAACATGATGACACGTCAAGCCATAAAACATTAATGAAACGAATCATTACATATAAAGAAGCATGATCATATTTAAGTGAGATGGCCGTAATAAGAAAATTTAAAGAGACAGAGAATATAGATTAGCAGTTGCCTTGGTCAGGGATAGATTTCGAGGATGAACTCCAGAACCCATTGATACTGAGCCTCTCCCCATGTCTGCAGAAACATCCCTTCAGATCCATTGCCCTATCATTGTGTACTAAGTGTACTAAGTGTTTATTTTTTATATTTCTTATAAAATGTGATTCAGATATTTTCTCCAATCCTGTGGGTATCTTTTTATTCTCCTGATGTTCCCTGAAGCACAGAAGCTCTTTTTAAATTTTAATGAAGTCTAATATATCTACTCTGAAATGTTATTGCTTGTGTTTAGGGCATCAGACATTTAGGCTTTAAGTAGTCAAGAGTTTGTTTCCTTTGCCTGCCTCCTACCAGCATGGACTCAGATCACACTGGCTGGGGTGGCGCCATGGGGAGGACACCCCACTTGTGATTATGATTCAGTGCAAACCTCTCTGGCGATGAGGAGACCATTGCATTTTGGTAATACAAGACAACAAAAGTTTTACTTCAGTCACAGCTGAAAGACATGATTGGCACTTTGAGATGTATATTTCTAATCCTTTCATGAATCTGTAGGGGTGAATTAATTCATTTTCCTCCCCAGACAGGTCCATCACTCTTTGTTTTAAAGAGTTCACAATGGATACAGCAAAACAGAGTCTCTTTCCATTGACAGTTGACATCCAATTCTCTTTCCTAGGAGCAAGCATACAGTACCCACGTTTGAGCGAGGCTATTTATTTATTTAAAGAGGGTAAAACTAAGCATAACAAAACAGAACAAAGCAGATCAGAAGAAAACAATGTAAGTGACACAGATTTCAAGATCTATAGTGGCTACCATAATGTCGTTTGTTTTCTTCTAAATAGTTGTCCATATCTTCACACACAATGAATTCGTACAAAACAAAATAGTATTAAACTGATATTTAAAACATGAAATGAACTGACAAGAAAGCGCTTAGCAGCCTGTCGTCCCTTACCGAATCAGAGGTGTGTCTCATCAGCTTGTGGCTGGGCAGCAGGAGCCACAGACAGGGACGTGGAATTTGGGTGTTTTCCTGTTCCCACCCGGGCTGTGCTAACCCTGTCAAGATAAAAGGGGTGACATGACAACGTAAACATCGCATCAGAGCATCTCTGGGCAGAAAGAGGAGGCGCATCTTAGCTGCTGGGATGCTGGGTGGGACCTTCTCACAGTGTCTCCTCTGTCTCCTGGCTGCCTTCAGTGCGATGCTGTTGGCAAACAGGGCTGGTAAAAGCTCCAGAGGACAATAAAACATTTTCTTATGAACACCAGAGAAGAAGCGCAATTAGAAATAATCAGGATTTTCTTTCAAAACTCCAAAACTTCCAGAAAGTGATTTTCTCTGCAATAAAAAGTCAGAAAACGTGCACCACTGTTTCTTTTTTTCATCAATGTTTGATTATCCAGATGGGATCCAATAGCCAAAGATTTTATCTACATATATATGCAGGGATTTCACACATAAATTTATGCATGGTATATTATTTTGATATGCACAATGAAGTTCACAGGCATAGAAACAAGTGCTACAGATGGCACCTTTTTGAGTAGATGTATTTGCAATGATTCTGTGTATTGATTTGCTTAGTAAGTATTAATTGTGTGTCTATTGCATAAAGGCTAGACCTTGACAAGCCTAGTAAACAGGAGGATCAACACATTCATAAAGTTTACGTTCTTCTGAGAGAACACCAGCGACAAACAGGTCGTGGTAGGTGTTACACTGAGAAATAAAATGTGCAGTAGAATCCAGAGACTGCACACATCACCCAGCACTGCCTCATCAAGGAAGGGCTCTGTGACAGTGGAGGGAACCTGGAGGACGAGACAGGAACCTGGGTGACAGGAAAATACCTGACAGGAGGCAAGAGGGCAGGGGCAAAGGCATTGTTCAGGCTGAGGAGCCGCGGCTGCAAATGTCTGGGGATCAGAGAAGTCTCAGAGAACCACGGAATCAAGAAAGCCAGTGTGGCAGAAGCAGATGGTGACAGGGATGAGGTCTGTCGAGTGACGCAGCGTGGATTCGAGCTGCACCCTAATGCATTCTTGCTAACATTGGCGTCTGAGAATCAAAGTTTTGGTGGGTTTTGCTCAGTGCCTGCCGGTAACTTATCATGTGGCTCCGGAGAATAGTCACTTCCTTCCCCTCGGCCTCAGAGCGACCTCAGCTGTGAAGCAAGGAGACTGAGGAGAAGGTAGGTGATCCACGAATTCCTTCTGTGCGCTAACATTCTATGATTCTAATCTTTGCCCTTAAAGATGAAGGTAAACACTCCTTTTTCTTAAAAGTATCAAGGCCCTTCTGTGAACTAAAGAAGGATGGCTGGGGTATGCCGGTCATTTGCCCTCCATTGTAAAACTGCCAAACTTAAGATAGCGCCAGGAGTCAAAGCTCCGTTTCCCCTGCGTTGTTGACATTTCTCCCAAGAAGAATTTGCTGTGACTTTTCCTATTTTGCTCCTGTCTTCATTCCTTGTCCAGTTTGATCTGAGTGCCACATGAAAGCCCTTTGCCTCTCTATTTCTGCCTCAACATTTTTAAAAACAATGAAAACAAATGTTATTCCCAAATACTTCAGGAATACTCAATACTTATTTTCTAAAGTAAACTTTTAAAATAAGACCCACTTGCTTCTTTGTACAGAAATGTGCTTGAAGATTTAACATCAATGTAAGCTTCTAGTAATTCTTAGCTGGAAGTGTAATCATTCAGGTAGAGGTTTCCAGAGGCTAAAATACACTGTGATCAAAGATTAGCTGGCTTTTACCATAAATAATTTAGAAAGCCTACTATACAAACACCTCAATAGACTCATACAGTTGCTAAATAAATAGCAATACATGCACAAGATAAACCTTTTAATGGAACAGCTAAGAGATTTGAACTTTTAAGGAATATTTACTTTGGAACTGAGATAAAACCCAAGACTGAATTTAGAAAGACAAACATCATGCAGAGCAGAGAAAGGATCTTGCCTCTGATGTGCGGGATTTTCGGTTTCAGGGCTGCGTTGAGTCATGAATGTTGTTGCAGAAACAACAACAACAACAAAAAAAAAGAACAGAAGTTAGCTTTTAGATAATACAGGTATTTACAAATTTGTTTTGTTATGCAAACTTTACTGTGCTTTAGAGGCTAAAATTTATCAGTTGGAAAACAATTTTTATGGAAAATAATATTTGACATACAGAAAGTTTGTCAGAAAATTCTATAAAGTGACTCTCTGTCAAACTAAACAAACACTATCAAAAAAGTGTTTCTTATTTTTAAGTTGCTAAGCATACAAGTCACTTGAAGATATTTTATTGAATACCAGTGAGGGTATACTTGATGACCAGGGTTGAGGATACTTCTTCAGTAATTAAAAATGTGAATTTGGGTGAGTTTCTCAGCCTCTGAGCATCAACTGCAGCTGCCAAATAAGGCTTGAATAAGACTTGAATATTCTCCAATTGGAATTAATGCTGGAAATGTATTTTTAACACTGCAGACTACATTTGCATACAGCACAGGCTAAGTGTTTAACCAGTTCATCCAGAAGTTAGTGAAACACAGAAATAATGCTTTGCTAACTAGAAAATAGCATAATACATCTCAGTAAAATTGTGTGTAGAATCCTGGATCTGTCACAAAGCCCTGGTTCCCCCTCCTAGTAGCCAGCTAGGAAAGAACTTTGTAAAACCATACAAGCACTGTGGACCACGGTTTCCTCAGTTGTGAAGTAGGGATAGTCGGACTTTCTGTTTGTATCTGTTGTTGAATAGTTTAGATCACAAATACTGGGATCAGACAGTCACATTTTAAAATCTTGCTCCAACAGTTATAAGCCGTGTGACTTAGAGGCAGCTTGATCAACTGCTAAGTGCCTGAATGCTTTCATCTTTTAAGCAAAGTTAATAACAAGATCTAATCGAAAGGGTTATGGTAAAGACAAGGGAGAAAACACAGGAACAGCAACCAAGGCAGCGTGCCTAACATTCACTGCCAGCGTCCTCTTACCTGCTTACTTTTAAGTCATTTTTTATTTTAAAAAGCAAAACAAAAAAAGAATAGAAATGATACAAAATTTTAAAAAAATAGGAAACTAACACTAGTTAATATATTGCATGTTGTTATCTTGGAAGTATTTGCTCAGGTTACAAGATTTAGGTGTGAAGAAAGTGATCAAGAAATCTTTTTGATGAAGTAACAGATCAGTAGTATGGTTATCTATCTTGCATATGTATACACATACGCACATACGTACATTATAGCTATTTACATTTACTCTCTTCTTTTCCTGCTAAGATGTAGTAGCAGCCACAACATGGGGACATGTAAAAATCAAGGCATTAGGCAGAGAAAAATTCCTGTGCTCAAAAGACAAAAGGATGAAGTTATGAGGGAAGGCTCAGAACGTAGGCAAGGCGAGAGCTGGACCTTCACAGAAAGAAAGAAGGACAAAAGAAAGACATAAAGACCCAGAGGTCGGATAATCAGAGAGATGGAAGAGCAATGCTCGAGTCACATTCCCAGGGAAAGACAACCAAATAAACACGTAGCTATGTTCTTAGGATTTTACAAAAACGATGTGAAAGAAACATTTCAAAAACATAAACTCATAAGAAAAAGCTATTAGAAGGAAAGAAAACAGCAATAAAACCTCAGAACCAGGTAAATAATTGGTCAGAGGCTTAGTAACAGAACATTGAAATCATACGAATTCCAGGCTAGAAGAAGGAAAAACCAGTCGGCACATAAAGTTATGCCAGAGAAACAGCACAACTGTCAGGAACTGCCAGCAGCAGGTGCCTCGGCAGTAGCAATGAAGCTGGGCTGGCAAAAGAGACTTTGTAGGAAGCGCAGACCTTTGTAACTTGCAGGCATCTAACTGAGGGTGGCACTAAATAAAGGTCATGAGGGACGCGTGGCTTTAAGACAGCGTTGCTGCTTCCTGTTATCTCCCTTGGGAAGCTGATGGCTGATCTGCTCCATTAAACAGAGAAGTGATCAGAGAGGAATCCAGTGCAGGGAAGAGGAAGACGTCTCCAGGATGCAGGCCATCTGTCCAGGGGATACCTGTGCACCCGGAGACAGGGTGCTCGGACCCCTTAGGACGTGCTGTGTCAAGAAGTTTGATAAGGTTTCTTCTAATGGCAATATTAAAAGAATATCTGAGGATTTCAATAATTGGTGATGAATTTGGGTAGTAATAATTACAAAGAAAATTAAACAAGATTCAAGACAATGTCTACTTCGGAAAAATGGAGACTTGTTCAGGAATGGAATTACAATTTGCGACCCTGCCTATGAATCACCTAGTCACAGTGTAGGGGGTGCTGAATGTTCCTATAACCGAAATTACAGTAGCAACGCCGGCGGGCGGGGAACAGGAACCCGTGTGCCCCCACGTGCGTGCAGGTGGGTGTGCCGTCGGCCTAAACGGAACATCTGCAAGCAGCACTGTATTTGGAAATCCTGCCCAGCTTCGTTCGGGGCCTGGCACACAGGCATAAATATTTATGAGGCACACGAGAACAAATAGAAAATTCTGATTGAGACTGCAGGTATGCAGGGAGTGGGGGCATCACCCCAGGCCCCACCTGACCACCCAAGGACGCAGGGATCAATATCACCTGCACCCGTAATCTATTTGCTGCTTACTGTTTGAGAAGCTCTGATTTAGAGATAGGGAGGGAAATACCAAAGGAACAAGCTAAAGGAATCTGAAGTGATTTCCTCTGGGGAGCGGAAGTGGTGGGAGACAGAGACGGGCAGAGAGCGGCTACGTTTCATAATAAATCTGGAGAACTCCTCACGCCATGTGCATATTTTACTAAAGAAAAAAACCAAAGAAATGAGAACAAATTATTCTGCGGCAGTGGAGCCTGGAACACGGATGAAGATCAGCACTGAACATGTTTTACTGCTCATGGCACATCCCTGGGTCCCCGTGACGTCCAGCGATAAGCAATGTGCACTTCATGGCAGAGGTGACGAGCAGGGTGGAGGAGAAGCAAACCGGTCACCTCCCTCCCACTGAGACACGACCAGGCCCAGGTCCAGACACCCTGGCAGTCACAGAGCCAAACTCTGAGCACTCTGCCTTGCTGCCTCCTGGAACGGTCAGTGGTCATGGAGCCAGACTGGGGAAGACAAAGGCCCTGGCCTAGGACCGCTTGGAACAGCTCCTCCAAATATATTTTCAGATAACGGCACTAGGGGCTGTGTAAACTGCTCCAGTCTGAAACACAGAAAGTACTCAAGCTACGGCACTAGGGAGGGTGGGTCCACGTGAGTAGGCTATCTATACATGTATGGAACGACACAGAGAAATACATCAATCTGCCCAATGAAAAACAAAATCACAAGTTTTGGTGGTAAGTTGCAAAATTTAGAAACCTTGTACGCTGTTGGAGGAAATGTGAAGCGATTGCCACTCTGGAAAGTGGTGTGAAGGCTCCCCATCAAATGAAACCCGGAATGACCACGGGATCTGGCCATTCCGCTCCTGGGCATATGCCCCAAATGACAGAATACTCTCTTACTATTTTTATTTGAAATTTTGTGTTATTTTTCCATAAAAATTAACCATTCATTTATATTTGGTATCACAAAATTATTATTAAAGTGTAACTTTGATAAAGTACCAGCTGTATTTTTCTGAATTTCTTAGGTCTTTAATATGCACTAAAATACTGAATAATGTGTGACATCTGGATTTCTTCAGGTTATCACAGGAGGAGAGTGGCTAGACACACAGGTGAAACAATACTGATCCCGTGGAAATTACTGAAGGTAGGTGATAAGACTTTTCTTTTGCTTTCCTGTTTAACTTTTGACATACTGGAAATGTCATATAGGTAAGAATAATAAAAATAAATGTAACCAGAGTTTACATCCAAACCAAGAGTAAGAGGCAGTACAGCCTGGCTGGTAACAGATTTAAGATTCATTCAGCAAACGTTTCATAGCATACCTGCAACATGCCAGGCTCTGTACTGAAGTCCTTGGTTAGGACGTAACGTGAGACACAATAAAATTTAAAAGAAAAAGCACAAGAAACCAGGGTTCCAACAAGGTAACTATGCCCTGTTCACAACCACAGATAGATGTGAGCCGAGTGTTTACCTTCAAGGGAATGAACGAACAGAAGGTGGTGACCACTTGCAGGGAAATGTCATTTGGCATTAAAACTAATGGATCAGGGCGTGAAGCCACATACCTGTCTCAGGAGGCTGAGACAGAAGGATCACTGTGAGTCTGAGGCCAGCCTGGCTTCATAAGTGAATTTGAGGCAGCCTGAACTCCATAGTGAGACTTTATCTCAAACAATAAAATAAAATAAAAAAGACAGAGCAAAAAGTAAAGGAAAGGGAAGGGAAGGAATTTTTTATGCATGCTATCACATCATGAGCATCATGTTATGTAAACTGAGCACAAGACAGATGTTTTACGCTGTTTCTGACTTGACACAGCCGGAGTGATCAAATTAATGGGATCAGAAAGCAGGATAATGGTAGCCAGTACAACACTGTTGAGGACGAGAATTATCATGAGTTTTTGATGGGCTCTGGTTTGGGAAAATAAGAAAGACCTGGAGGTAGACAGTGGGAACCGGTGGGTGTGCAAGCATCTCAGTGCACTTCGCTGAACTCTCCACTCCATGGCCATTACAATAGCAAGTTCACACTGCGTGCTGTTTATTTCAGTGAAAAAATATTAAAACAAAGCAGCACCACCTGCTCCATCCCTCCATGGTCGCTCCCCGTGAGCATACCCTTTCACATGCACCTTCTCCTCAGAACAGCCAGTCTGGGTCCGGCCATCCACGGACTGTGCTCTGGTACTGGGGTCAAACTCACTAAACGTGTATCTGGAGCAGACAGGACAAAAAGGTAGTGGATGTCACCTTCTAACTCCCTAGGACCAGTCTTTCCAAGCTGTTTCCCACAGTAGTGAGTTTTGTCTCACAGAAAAGGGAATCTCAGCGGCGTACTGTGCAGAGGCCACGCTTCCTCTTCTCTGAGACAACTCTGACGCACTCTGGGCCAGGGAAGGCTTTTCAGCTGCTCTGGTGAGCACGACCTCACAGAGCTCTGGTGGGCTGGCCTGGCCACCAACTGTGTGGTGCAAGGCTCCAGTACCAACCTCCGCTGGCCACTGGGGCCACTGTCCTGGAGTCCTCGCACTGTGTGGGTGCCTGGGGCAAATAGCAGATGGAGACAAGACACCGAGCCTTCGCTCCTGGGGTGAGCCAAGCTGCCAGCTGGTTCACCAGTAAAGATTAGCTCAGGAGCCCAGTGCACCCGAGTCGTGACAATGAATTTGTTTGTAGTTACTGAGCTTTAGCGTGCTTTGCTATGTTTCAAAAGGGAGCTGACACAGACCGTTCAGTGTCCAGGGGTAGCATGTATCCAAGAACGATCACCAAGCTCTCCTCAGAACACTGTCCTCTGCCTCAGTTTCCCCATGTGTAGGAAGGGAGAGCCGAAGTAGGTAATGTTTAACAAGCCTTGCACCTCTATTGTGTCTAACAAAAAAGAAACGTGTGTCATGTAAGCTTTCTGTGACTTGTGCATCCATTTGACCTCAGCTGGAGGGCTTGAGCTTAGCACATATGCTGCAGGTGGGAATGGCAAATGACTCCTGGGAACTGGTGACCTGGCTCCCAGATCCCTGGGCCCACTCAGCCCCATGCTGAAACTGATGTCTGAGTCTGCAGCATGCTCTCTGTAAAAGTGCAGGTGTGGCCGTGAGGTCGCAGACCCTCTCCCTCCTCGCTTTCTCGGGCTCCTGCATCTGTCAGCAGCCGCCTGACCCCGAGCCGGCCTGAGCAGTGGTGTTTGTGTTTACAATACATGGACGGTCAGCAGCACACACCGCCCAGCACCCAGCCAAGGCTTGGGGCCATCCGGGAGGAGCAGAGTGTGGGTTCGCACTCTGTTTATTTGTGGTTCTTTTAAGTGATGTCCCAAGACCTACATTTCACGCTTGTGTGGAAGTGTATACGTAACAGGGAAGCCGTGAGGCGGTAGCTGGCCTGCGCTCTGGCTGTTTACCTGTTTAGTTATAGGTCAGCATGCAGCGTGTGGAGTCATAATTCTTTTCGGGACCTAAGAGGGCCTGCATGAGGGAACCCCGGAGGAAATCTGCGTCCTGTGTTTCCACCTGGTCACGTCCTTGGCTGTCTCCCCTTCAGTCATCACAGGAGTGCTTTTTGTGTTCACAAAGACTTGCTCCCTGGTAATTCGGCTTATGAAACAGGAAGATAAAAGTAAAAATCCATTTCAGACTGAAGAAGAAAATTCAAGACATCCCAAAGTGTACCAAACCAAATTCCTTAAAAGCACTGAGACCTACTTCTGCACGGTGGAAGTTTAAGCAGTAAATTCTAACCTCTGTTTCTTACTGCAAGTTTTTACTATTGCAAGAAAAGTTTTGTGAGAGAAAAAATAAAATCAAATACAAAATCCACTTTTGCCACTTTGTAGAGTGTGTATTGGCAGCAAACAAAAAATATTCTTATGAAAAAATAAAAATTCTAAACCTAGAAAAATGAAATGAAGAAGATAGGAGACAGCTGCACCCTAAGAAACGCTCCCTCTGGCTCTCTTCTAAGGAGAGTGCAGGCTGTGGCAGCGGTTTCTCTGAGCTGCAGGCAGCAGCCGTGGGTGCTGCCCTCTGCAGTGGTGCCGGGTTCCTGAGCTGCTGTACTCAGAGGCCTTGCGCTGCTCTGAGCAGGACAAGGAAGGAGAGGCAGCGTGGTTCTGCAGGCTGGCTACAACAGGAAACAGCCGGCTTGGCATCTGTCAGCATCTCCCTGTTCACCCTAGAGCTGGCCCTGGCCAGACAGAGGAGCTGCAGGGAGGGGACCCCCTTCTACCTGCTGGGAAGCTGGGTAACACGCGGGATCCCTGGAAAAATGCCCCAAAAAGCAGGACCGAGGGCCCGCCTAGAAAGGGTTGGGCCGCCGCTGGGCCCTGCTCACTCTGCCTTACCCTAACCATCACCAGCATTCAGTCCTAGGAGATAAAAGTTTATCTGGAAATTCAGCCAGCATGTTAACTGTGGTTGCAAGTGGATGGCTCCCTCTTCTCTCATTTTGGCCAGAGATTTACACCCCTTCTGAGCCAGCCCCGGCTTATTTATATAACTGTGCTGAGAGCAGCTGGAGGTGGCCGCCTACAATAACAAGCTCTATTTACGCCTTGTGGGGTTGGGACCCAGCCCTTGAAAAGACTCAGATCAAATGAGACACTTGGAGGGTGCAGGGGCAGCAGCTTTGAAAGGGTTCACAGAGGCCTTCTGCCCTGTGCACAAGCCAGTGTGACATTTCCATTGCTGGGAGCTCAGCGCCCCAGGGAGAGCCCCGATCCTGAATCCGAAGTGCGGCAGGCGCCCACCGAGGACCTGACACGTGGGTACCCCGGCCCCCTTGCAAAGCATCCATGGCTGTGACACCGCAGATGCTCCTGTCGCTGTTGCTGCCTACCCTGACAGATTTCTGTCACTTCTACCCACCGAAGCTCCTCTCCCTGTTCCAGATGTGGCCCTACGGTACCCAGGCTCCTTCTGTGAACATGCCGTGTGTCACTAAATCCCAGCAACACAAGGAGTCCTCAGCCACTATGCTTCTCCGTGTTCTTACCTTTCCTAAGCCCACCTGGAATTTATAAGACTAATTAGTGCTGGCACAGACAGAAAGGGGGCTAGCTGAGCTATTTTTGGCTTCGTTCTCAGCTCGAATGTCAAATGTTAGGTAAACAGACAGCTCTGAGTGAAGTATGAAATGTATTTTAATTTCATCTGGTTTAATCATACTATCTCTTTTATAAAAGTGTAAAATTTTCTTCACAAGCTGTTAAATGGCGCCCCCTTTCTGTCAGTGATGAATTTGGCTGAGAAAGAAAAAAATCACATGGCCTTTTATCCCTTCCAGGGGTTGGGCTGCGAGGGTCTGCAGAGACACTTCCCTGGAGAGCTTTCATCAGACACAAGATGGATTCGGGTTCAGAGTGTGGAATGGGCTCCAATTTGTTGAGGTACTGTAAATATTTTTGTGCCAGTGTTACAGTAATCACTGCAGTGAATCAAGGGTTCCCCTCTCAGGGAACAGGGAACCTCCCGGGAGAGCCTCAGAGAGTGCTAGTGCACCGGACACAGTGCACCCCCAGAGGTGCGCTGTCTCAGGTGGGTGCCAAGCGCTGCTGTGGAAATGGTACATTTGCCAGAGGAGTTTAACAAGTAACTCAGGAAGTCTCGAGCCTTTAACTGGATGGTCAAATATTGGCCAGGCCTGAAATCCCGGAGGAGGCTAAGCACCGAAATGTGAGTCCCCATCCCTAAGGGTCTGAAAGAGGATGTGAGAGTGAGGATCCCTCAGTCCAGAGTGACAGGTCAGCCGTCTGTGAGCTGAGGGAGGCGAAGGCCACTCCTGCAGGACCCAACTAACCTCCGCTCCCGTTCAGGGAGATGCCCACCCCGCAGCCCTGTGAGATGGAACCTGAAGCTGAGCTCTCTGATACCGAGGAGGAAGGCGGGGGACGCTCCTCCTTCATCTGCATGACCCTAACGGGAAAGTATTATAAACCCGCAGCGGGAGCAGGACAGAGAGGAGAGGTTCCAACTGCTGAATCTCTGTTAAAAAAAAAAAGTAGTAAATTTACTCTATATGGTGCTGTTTGTCCTTTCAGAAAGAAAGCAAATATATCCAAACATGATTTTTAACACAACAAAACAGAAGAAATAATAAACAAAATGATACTTACAAGATAAACAGGAGTGAAGGGTGATGGTTTCCTAGGTTTTTGTAGTTTGGGCCTTTTTCAGAAGCATGATAATATTCTATGTGTTCAAGGATAAAATTAACAAGATAGTGAGAACAATCCCAAAGTTAAGGCAAAAGAAACAAACCAACCTTATTTAAAATGAGTAAAATTATCATGCTCTCATAAAAATTAGATCTAACACTGCTGGCTGTAAAATGCAGTACTAAGAATATAACTTTAGGAAAAAATGGAACTGAAAACAAACTTGAATTCTTCTGAATATTTTTAAAAAATATATATAGTAACTTGAGTTTAGCAGTTCCAAAATTAACTTTTATATCGAATATCTGAGTCAATGAGTAGATGCTTTAATGTGACCAGGTACCTACGAGGGAAGAGGAGGAGGAATACAGGAGGAGGAAAGGCAGATAATGCTGAGCAGGGGCGGGCCTTGAGGGTGCTGCACAAGCTACTGGTGTCAATATATACACTCTAGGCTTTTCCCTGGTTCTAGCTACTCAAAACACTGTATTTAAAAGCAGTGAAACTTCAATATCAATGACCATGTAAAACCCAAAGCCTGACTTTTTTGAATATTATTCCTTGCTAGAAATAAAAGCAGTTCCTTGGAATCATGGCTGATTCCAGAACTGGAGGAATTAAAATACAGGTTGACAGAACATAATATAAACATACAAAAATCATCAGTGTTCCTGTGCACCAAGAATGAACCTACTGAGCAAAATCAAGGAAAAAGTCGCATGTATGGTAGCTTCAAAAAAATAAATATCTAGGAATTAACCTAACCAAGAAAGGAAAGAGCTGTATATCAAAAAGTGCACTTCTGTGGGCAAAGAGCAAAGTAAAATACGGACAGGAGGAAGTGGAGGCAGAGTTTGTCCTCAGCTGGGAAGAGGATCAGGAGAAGGGTGAGAGCAGGGAGGGAAGGACGGAGGGAAGGACGGAGGGAAGGAGGGAAGGAAGGACGGAGGGAAGGACGGAGGGAAGGACGGAGGGAAGGAGGGAGGGAAGGACGGAGGGAAGGACGGAGAGAAGGAGGGAGGGAAGGACGGAGGGAAGGACGGAGGAAAGATGCTGAAAAGAATCGGGCTGTGCTGTGTGCAGGCACCAGGGTCCCACAAGGAACATAAACATTACTGGAAACATACCAATAAAAGTACTCAAAAAGCTGTGTTGTTGCGAAAAGAGATTAAAGAGGACATTAAAAACTGGAAAGACACTCCCTGTTCTTGGATATGTAGAACTATTTTTGTCCAGGGGGCTGGGGGTTTAGCTCAGAGGCATAAACGCCTGCCTTGCAAGCAGGCAGTCATGAGTTCGATCCCCGGTACCGATAAAAACGAAAAAGCCCCCAAAAAAGAAAGAACTATTTTTGTCCAAATAGCTCCATTGCTAAAAGTGATACATAGATTTAATAAAATATCTATCAAGTAACTATCAGAATTTTTTCACAGAACTAGAAAAATATAATTCTAAAATTTACTTGGAAATAGAGATCCAGAAAAACCAAAGTAAATGGTGACATCAAAGCTGGTTATTCCTATGCAAAAAAAGAAAAGAAAAGAATCTTGATCTGTCTCTTGCCTTATGCTAAAATCATATCACAATAATTCAAAGACCTATAGATTATAAATAATAACAGTGGACCTGTTGGAAGAAAAAAATAACGAAACCCTTAAAGACAGGCATGGGCATAGTTTCTGATAGTTTCTGAACAGAACCCCAATTGCAAAAGAAATAATTCCAAGCTTCAACAGATAGGATTATATCACAGATATCACAATAATTTGTCAACTTTTCTCCGGATTCATCCCATCACCTAGGATGTGTAATGAATTAAAAACTGGATCCCAAAACAAAAGGCACAAACAAACTGTGCAGGTGAACTGAATACGCACTCTTGAGAAGCTGCGCAAAGGCCCAGCAGATGACAGGAGAAGAACGTTCAGCACTTTGGCCAGCACGGAAATGCAAATGGAATCAGCACTAGGGTTCCACTTTATGCCAGAGGAATGGCCATCATCATGGACTCAAGACACAACAAATGCAAATGGGGCTGTGGGAAAAGGGACACTGCTGGTGAGAGTGAGGCCAGTGCACCCACTCGGGAAAGCAGTCCGGAGATTCTTCAAAAAGCTAAGCATAGAAATTCACTTGCTCTATGGATAACTCTCCTGGGTATCTTCCCAGAGACATCACACTACAGTGACCCTCGTGCACCCATGTTCCTGCAGCCCAGCTCACAGCTGTGGAATCAGAGTGCGTGCCCATAAGAGGGGAGTGGAAAAGAAAATGGAGCACTGCTCAGAAATACGTATGAATTTGAACAATTTTTAAGAAAGTTGACACATCTTGAGACCATAATACCAAGTGAAGTAAATTAGTTACAGTTAAATATCACATGGTTTCTTTAATGGGAGAGACTCAAAATATAAATAATATAAAGAGCAAAATCGAAGATCCATGATAAGAAACAGGAAGGTAAACTAAAGACACAGGGAAAAGCAGGGCGGGAGGGTGGAGGCCTTGCAGGGCGGTGGAATGATCAGGTTGCACTATGTACCATGCGCCAAACCCCAGCTGAACCTGACCACTGAGTATCACACACATATACCGAGCGGCGGTTAAGTTGACACTGCAGTGACTTACAGTGCTGGAGAAAGGAAGCCTCCTCCACAGCTGGGAGCGTAGACAGTACAGACACTGGAACTCAGTGTGGAGAGTCCTCAAACACTAGGATTGATGGTCCCATTTGACCCGGCTGTTCTCCTTCTGGACATCTTCCTGGAAGAATTAGAAGATCATCCACAGTGATATATGTGCACCAGTGTTCACAGCAGCACAGTTTGTAATAGCTAAATTGTAGAAACAATCCAAATGCCCCTCAACCAAGGAACAGATAAAGAAGATGTGGGTTTTTACCTAGATATAATGGAGTACTGCTTGGCCTAAAGCAGGATAAATTTGAGATATTTCTAGGTAAATAGATGCACCTTGAGACCATAGGACTCTTAAGTGAAATAAATGAGACTCACATGTAAACATTGGATCATCTCCCTGTTGTGAGAAACTGAAAGAATAAATATGGACCCAAATGTACAAAAGGGCAAGAAACTGCTCAAAAGGAAACAAGAACTGGGGGAGAGGGAGGGGGGAAAAGAAATTTAAAAAAGAAGAAGAAAATGGAAATGGTGCTTTGTAAATAGGGAGGAAATGATGGATTGAAGGGAAGGGGGGGACTGGGAAAAATAGAGAAATCAAAATATATCGTGTATAGAGACAAATTCCCAGTGATGCAAATGACCATTCTGTATATTTAAATGTACCAACAAATTTAATTATATATTTTAAGAAAGAAGTTGCAATGTTTTATTGTAACAGCAAACAATTTCTCGGAAAAATGCTGGGAGATGCCATGAGACACTAGAGCTAGTTTGAAAAGACTCTCACTAACATCAAAATAAATAAGGTGGACAATGGATTGCAGCTAGTTGATGAAAATATAAATCTATGAACACATGCTGCAGTTGATAGATGATAGAGATAGATAGATGATCGACAGGTAGGTAGGAAATGTGGGGCTGTCCTTATAATGGAATCCCAAAGGACAAAATGTGAATGGCACAGTGTAATCCATGGTGAGTGTTGGTTTGGGAAGAACTCGTTCATGAACGCTAAGTGTAGGAGAGAAAGTTTATGAATTTCCAGCCGGAAACATAACTATACGGAGAAAAACTGAGCAGCTCCTTGGCCATTGATCAAAATTAGCAAAAATGAGTGCTAGCTAACATTCCAGCTTTCCAGATGTGGTATGCAGTGTCCTGCCCAGAGATGCCTGACCAGAATACAACCAAGACATTGTAGACGTCATTAACGTCAGATGAACCCGACAGAGTGACACTCTATAACTAGTCTGCAGTTTTCACATATTACGGAGGAAGAGACGTCAGGCTGAAGAGCTGCTACTGTAACACAGAAACCAAACAGCCCAGTGCTGCCCTGAGTGTTCTCTTGTAGTGGAGGATTAAGAAGGTGATTAGGGATTGATAAAAGGGAACACACAATACAGATTCAATAAAGATCTTGTATTGACTGTACCTTTCATAAATATGAAGCGTGTCCATTTATATATGAGAGTATTAATTTTCCTAGAAAACACACGGAAGTTTCAAAGGGTAGAGGAGTGCAAGGTATGTAAACTATCCTCAAATGCTTCAGAAATGATCAAACGTACACACACATGTGTAAACGCACGCACATGGGTGCATAAAGAGACTGTGACCAAACAGGGAAATGCTGAAACCAGTGAACCCTAGTAAAATGATGTCCAGCAGTTTCAGCACTGTTTTTGTAAATTTCGTGTTATCTTGAAGTTATTTTGAAATGAAAAATTTAAAATAAACAACACACTCAGAAGATGAATAATCAAGTTTCACATCAGGGCATGAACCACATGTCTGAGTTAACTACTCGTGCTGCAGACAAACCCACATGCTACCTGGTCGCTGGGTATATGCATTCAGTGCCTTCTGCAAAACACCTAGCGAGCAGGTCTGTTCACCTAAATTCCACGCTGCTGAAGACCCCCACATCTAGGGAGTTGGTCTTGATAAGCAGAGTGCCACTTACCGGAAGGGCCTTGATGACATCCTGAAGGGAGGTTCCTGTTGCAGCCCCATAACACCATCGGCTACGACGTCTCTCTCCGACAGCCCGTTTCTTGGAGAGATGTGGTCCTGAGAATGAATCCTATTGCACTGCTCGACCACAAAGAGTGAAATCAAGGAAGAAAATGGCTGTGTAGCTTTCCAGGCCTTATTCACAGAAGAAATTACCTTAAAATCTCCTTGAAAGGTTTTTAAGGGGCCACCGCCTGACCGAGAGAATCCTGGGCTTAGCGGTCAAGAACACTAGAAGTGGCAGGACTGAAAGTGTAAATCGCTGTTTGTACATTTTGATTTTTAATTGTGTCAATCGCTAGACGATTCTCTTCCATACAGCAGTCTTTTTGCAGGTTACAGCGATCTTTTAGCAAGGACATCTCCACAGTGATAAAACTGTCAATAGCAACCATCCCAATTTATCATGCACAAATCCAAGAGCCATCCCTCCAACCTGTGCTTTGCATGTCTCTTGTTTAGTGACAAGGATATCCCCCGGAGTGATCCCTTCTATTTTCATTTTGTAAGAAGCTCAGGTATGTTAAGCAATTTGTCCACTATCACCAGGAGTAAGTGGCCACCTGGGGTCCAGGGATAAGACTGACATTAGAATGCAAGCTCTTAATCATGATGCTCCCCACTACGGCCGTAAGGGTATCATTTCTCTTACTCAGAGGAAGGACTTGAGCTCCTAACAAGGGTAATTTGCACTCTTCCACACCTGCCTCTGCAAAAGACCTTGTAAGTCTACCTTGAAACTCCTTATTCACCAAATACGTACATGTGCTTCTTTGTAGTCTGCTTATGTGTATTTTTTTAACATCTGTTCCTCTAGTGAACCCTGACTGATACAGTCTGGAATAGTTTAGTCCAGATTATCTGATTCATTTGATTCAAAATTTGGCACTGTTCCTATCCTGATGTTACAAAGACCACATAAAACAATAGGCAATAAGTGGTTTGTAAATTGTGAGATTTCTGCGTACACAAGGATTAGGTATCATTACCTTTGAAATTTTCCTTAGTTTACCATGAGAACAAGCAGGAGCTGTGCCACTTTGGAATTCAGTTTGGCAATTTCTTGAAAAGTTAAACATACAGTTACCATTTGACCCAGCAATCCCACTCCTCGATATTTACCCAAGAGAAATGAAAATATATGTTCACATAAAACTCTGGATGGGAAAGTTTATTGCAGCTTTCTTCATAATTGCCAGAAGCTGGAGATGATCCAAACGTCCTTCATCTGGTGAACAGATAAACAAACTGGGGCACCCACTCAGTGGAATGGTAGTTAGCAATAAAACGAATTAATTACTAATGCAGGGAACAACCACGATGCGGCAGAAAGACATTATTCTAAACGAACAAAGCCACATTCGAAACCCTGCACAGGGCACAATTCCGCTTGTATGGTATTGTAATAAAGCAACCCGGAAGGTGTGCACAGAGCTATGGTGGCCAGGGGTGTGAAGAATGTACCTGGACTACAGAGAGACATGAAGGAAGCTTTCAGAGGATGTAAAACTTCGCTGTCTTCAATGATCTGGTTTCATGACTGTGTGCATTGATGGAAAACCACAGGAACTGACTTTGGAAAAGAGTGAATTCTACTGAATGTTTGCTACACTCTGAAAGGGTTGGCTTAAGCTTTTATAAAGGTAGATGTATGACACTCTCAGAGTTGAACAAACAAATTGATGGGCACATTACATCCCTGTGGATTCCTGGGAATCCCCCAAGGAAATACCAGTGTCTTAGGGACAGATTGTCACGATGGTCCTGTGAAATCTGCACCACCCAAGATGTGCACAGGGGCATGTCCACACGACACTGCTGTTACTCTATGAGTTGAGTTTCTGAACTTTCCCCGTAATGTCGCACCATGGCAGATGCAGGCTACGCCGAGTTACCCACCCACAGGGGTGCAGCGGGGCCACCATGGCACCTGCTTCTGTTGGCTGAGAGTCTCCTCCTCAGTGCCTCACCAACTCCTCCTCCTTTTCCAAAGCCAGCTCCCCTCCTTGCACTCGGCCCAGGGCGTGTCCGTTACCTGGTTCTGACTCTTCCTTCTCCTCTTGCTTCCCACCCAGCCCCGTATCTGTAACTCCACTTTACTTCCTCAGCACCTTTGTAAAGTGCAGTTGTGAGCTGGTGGCCCCAGGACTGTGAGAGTTTATAAACTCTGCTTCAAGAACAAAGCTGAGAGAGAAAAACGAAATATCGGTGGTCTAGCTTTCCCCTTGTCTGTGAGTGTGGAAGTCACACTGACATGGCAGAGACTGAAATATGGAAATGGTCATGGTGCCATGGAGAGAATGGCTCCAAGAGAAGCATCTGGATCGTTGGTGAGCTTTGTACAGACACGAAGCAGACCTCCTGAGCTGGGAGGATTGTTCACTACTACAGTACGGGCTTCTACCCTCACTCAAGCAGTTTGCACAGAAACACGGATGGTAGTTTAGCATGAAGCCCTAAGGAGAGCAAACAGAAATGGCTGTCTCTGTACCTCCAGAGTCTAGCAGGTCGTATGAAACATGCTGAGAAAGTTCTCTACAAACGTGTATTGAACCGAAGTTACATGCCAATATTTTAAGTATTTTGGGGGTTGAAGAGCCCAGAGACAGTCACAATAATTCCACAGAGACAATCCTTCTGTCTTACTTTAAAATTAAGGGAACTGAAACTTTGACAACTACACGTATCTGCAGGTTTGCGTTGGTTGCATGGTTACTGCCTGGCAGGGGTCCGTCGCTGACCCATCAGGAATATCACAGCGCCCGCCTTCAGGAACAGCTGCTTACAGGCATGTGCTCATCCTAAGTCACAGACTCACACCTGAAAGGAACCCAGTCCAGAGCGTGGATATTCTTTATGATTTGTTTCCTTTTCCTGGAGTCTGCATGTTAGATATTTTCAAACACAGCTCATTCCTCTTACTCCAAAGGGTCCAGAGGCCCTGGCCCTACACGGCTGGACTGAAAACCAACTCATTTTAAAGGTATCCTGGTTTAAAAAAAACCATGAAGTCTATGTTTCTGGGTCTAACATGGATACCGTAGTATGTTTTTAAAAGGTTGTGTCCTGGCGTGAAGTGGAAGTAAATTCAGATGGAAAGAGCCC